GAGAAAACACTGGAGATTTTCAAGGGTCCTTCTAATATTTGCGGTCATTGAATATTTGAAATTGACTTCCAAACCGTCAAGAAGCTTAACTGTCATTTGAGATACGCACCCAGTTTACTAAGGAGAACTGATGTGGGGTGAAGAAACTGCAGAGAAGGGATCTTCTCCCACCCGTCACCTCTGGATGGGGGTATCTCAAACAGGCTATCAGAAGAAAGCAGAAACAGCCATCTGGGCAAAAATCACATTTTTTAAATTTCTTGACACAATATGTATCCCATCAATTCCATCCCTATGGGCAGCTGGGTCCAAAATAGAAGAGCTATCATAAAATAGCTATCATTGGTAATATTATAAATTGCTGGGGGCTAAGGAATACCTACCCCCACCCCCACATCAAATTATGAGGAGGATCAAGGTGGAGACATTGAAGAAGCCAAGTGCATTTTAACTGGAGAAGAAAGAAAATAAACATAGATACCAGGGGACACGCACGAGCACCATGGCTTAATGTGAGGAGAAATGAGACCACAATTGATGCAAACTTCACGATTTCACACTCTGCAAATGAAGCAAATGCTGTTACAACTTAATGCGTTGTACTTTTGGAGACCCAGCAGAGCTCAGGCTGCCTGAATTCGCGCACGGGGCCAAGCCATGGTTTGTTGAACAAGTCACAGTGTTGGTCTTTCCGAGGAGAAAAGAACAGGACTTGCTGGCTGAAGCCATCATCAAATGCTTGCTTTCAATTAGCAATCAGAAACCTACAGTGCAACTCTTACCCTTTGCGAAAGCAATTTCCAATTGTTTAGCTCATTTACTCGATTCTTGCCTTTCACAGTGAACTTGTGGTTCGATTGGCACAAGGCGACGTGAATTATTAAAATTAACCTCCCTCTGCTCATTTGAATTGCGTAGCTAGAGCCCCCTCCAGGGCAGCGTGCGTACTATTTCTTCCTTTGATGGATCATAATATGATCCCTTTCAAGTACTCTAGTAATAGCATCACATCAAAGCAGTTTCCCCTCTTTATCTTATTCACAAATTGTTACAGTGCATATTAAAAGCGAGACAGTTTTAATATCACTTCCGTACTAATTTGCCAGTTGAAAGGTATCATTTTCCCTACAGCCGTTGCCTTCTTCCTCACCCCATTAATATCTTGGCCTCATGAATATCCCTAACTTAACATTTTGTCTTTCCAGTGGTTCCCACCCCCAGCCCCCAATCTAGGCAAATAATAGATTTTTTTTAAGGCAGGTGTAAACAGGGGAGAAATAGAAGGCTTTAGATTCAAGCAGTTCATGCTACAAATGACAAATCTAATTTTCAAAGTGTGAAGGATGCTACACTCCATCCCTGGGCACCTGGGGGTGGGGCAAAAAGGAAGCAATGTCACATGGTGTCACATTTGTCCTTGGCACAATAATGACATGACACATTAGCAATGATGCTCCAAAGATGCTTTTTCGAAAGGCAACTGGACTTTGTTTTTCCTTGAAGACATTTCGCTTCTCACACAAGAAGCTTCTTCAGTCCTGACTGACTGGTGGAGGATGGAAGGACTTACACTCCTTGCAGTCATCTGGCCATTAGCATTCTCTCTGAGAGTGTTGAGGCCACTTGGGGGGGGTTTCTGTGCCCCCTCAGGGTCACCTGAATCGGAGTGCAAATGAGTGCGGAGCCTTCTTGGAGCTGCTGAAAGGACGGTGTTGTCAATAGGAGATGGGTGGCGTCCTATCCCTCACCCTCGGTCGAGAAAGGGCAGTTCAGTCTTATGTTAGATGGCCTCTCTGGCCCCTCTTTCAAGTCAGTGGTCCTCTCTTCTTCAAGGAAAAACCAAGAAAGTCCAGTTGCCTCTTGAAAAAGCACCTTTGGGACCACCATGACCTGGATGGCTGAGACTCTCCATAGGGCCAGGATGGCTTCTGAGCTGAAGGCAGAACCTGCCCCGGCTGGTGAACCAGGTCAAGAACAAATCAGATGTGGAAAAACACCTCCAAGATTAATTTCAGCGAGGTTATCCTTTATCCCTCACTGGCGGAGGAGATGGGCTGGAGTTTATCAGATCCTGCTTTCTTCCTCATCCTGAGGGACTTATTGGGTTTGGTTGGTGCTTGTAATTTATTTGCAGTCAAGAATAATGATATCTTTGTCTGTTTTGTTAGCCTTCGGGAAAGTGAACTGTTCCTGCTGGGGTGGATCTCAGCTTCTATGTTTGAGTTGCCTTTGCAGAATACCAGATTTCTCAAACTTGCCCAGTCACTCTGAGCTGCCCTTGATTTAAAAAAAGGGCTGCTATATTTTTGGAATAAAGGAATTGCCTTCCAGAAATATTTGCAATTTGTACTTAAATCTTTGCCAGGCCCGAGCCTTATGTAAGAGAATTAAACAGAATTAAAATTTCTATAAGACGCCAACGCACTCCAACCTCCCCACTTCCTGAAGTCCTGCAGTCCAGAAACACCGTGGTTGTTTCGCTCCCTTTGTGCTCAGCCGTGATTTTAGCATCATTAATAGATGAAGAGAGGTTTCACCTCTTCCTCCCTCCTTCCTGCCGGTCCACCTTCTTTCTCATTCTCTTTCAGAATACTTAATGGTGAAGAACAGTTTTAAACTTCTTTTTTTTTCTTTTCAGCCCAGGAAATGAAGTGGAATAGAAAGACTCATTTGGAGTGCTGAAAAATTGAGGAGGCGACGTCTGAGCACCAGTCCTCCTCAGCCGAACGGGGCTCGGCACGTGAGAAGGCGCTCCCGTCTTGTGGACCGAGATTTGTCGAAAGTCCCTGTGCAGCATCCAGGATTGCCTCAATCCCCCCCAAAAGCAGCCCCCTTTCAGACCTCTCAGTGGCAACTGGGGCGCCCATCCACCCCACAGGATAAGTCAGGGATGACCCAATTTCCACCTCTTCGTTCTCACCACTTTTCATCATTTCTTTGCAGGAGGGAAAAAAATCTTTTCACGGTGGAAGACCAAACTGCCACAGGGGTCTCTGCAGGCAGCCTCCCCTCCACAACAGCCAGTTTTCAGGGGGAGGCCACAGGAACCCCAAGGTGCTGGCTGGGTGTTGGGCTGGAAATCCTGCAATTTTGGTCCCAACACATCTAGAAGGCTGCAGATGTTATGTATACCCTCCTTTCCCTCTTCAGAGCTCAGAGATGTCTCCAGACAGTGTCCGGGTGGGTCTACAGCAGAGTCACGGCATCGCTCAGAGACCACCTTATGTTTTCCATCCTTCCTTTGACTTGTTCTGCTCCATGGGACCCTGGGGGTCTTCTAGTCCAACCCCCTGCTAAAGCAGGAGACCCTAGACCACTTTGGACCAATAGCTCTCCAGTCTCTTCTTGCAAACCTCCGGTCATTTTTTTTTCAACCTTCTCCATATAAAGTGGGTAGGTTGGCAAAAGGGAGGGCAGCTTAACTTCATAGCTTGTGGAGGATTTACCCATTCCTTCCAATTTATGGGAGCACAATTTTGTGGCTGTGCTATGATTTAGGCTCTGCTCACCCCCCCCCCTCCATATTCTGCAAGGCAGCTGTGCCTGGGCCTCCTTGTGGTGGGATGTGATTCAACCCTCTTCCTTTTAGGGAAGGAATACCCAGATTTACACCTCAATCCCCAGTGACATCTCCAGACGTGACCCTAAGGTTGATGAGCAACAACTTCTGGAATTTTCTTAAACCTTGATAATGAAATGCCTGACAGATTGTAAATCGTCTGAGCCACTGAACCTCCGTTTGGAGCCTTCAGCCCCTTCCCTGCTGCCTAGTCTCCTTTTAGGTGGAAAAATGGATTGCTTCATGGTCTTGGGCAAAGACTTCCAGTGCTGCATTTCAGTCACAGTGTCTCCCGACTTGTGCTGCTGAGACACGTTCTCACAACAGTGTGTCTCTCTCCCTGACCCCTTCTGCAAAGCCACCACATACATTGTTCTCTCTGGATGCTGTAAATCCAAAACCCGGGAAAGGGACGATGAATTATGACATTTTCATTTTATAGGCTAACTTTTGATCGGTTGGACCAGCTAGCTACTCCCGGAGGCTTTGAGGCTGTGCAGGCTGGCCACGGCCTGCAGCAAGGGAGAATGGAAGTCATCTTCTTATTTGGTGACTTTCCGGGACTAATTCAGTAGTTCGGTGAAGCTCTGAAGAATGGCCTGGGGGGCAAACACCTCTTCTAAGACTGCCCCCCCAAAAACTCTTGGCCTTCAGTAGATGCTGCCTGTGATTCAAAACAGATGCCTTCTGACTATTAACTGTTTCCTACTCTCTCACCCATAGATTTGCCATCTCCTCTTAAAACCTTCTAAGATGACCTTCCTCACCTTTGTTGGCAATGAAGTCCACTAGAGGAAGCAGTATTCCCAAAGGTATTTTTTTGAAAGGCCACTGGACTTTGTTTTTCCTTGAAGATGTTTTGCTTCTCATCCAAGAAGCTTCTTCAATTCTGACTGATCAGTTTGGTTCTTCAGTCAGAACTGAGGAAGCTTCTTGGACAAGAAGCAAAATGTCTTCAAGGAAAAACAAAGAAAGCCTCTTTGGGACAACCATGACCTGGATGACTGAGAATCTCCATAGATAGAGGAAGCAATTGTTACTTATTTATTAAATTTATGCCCTGCCTTTTCTCTAGCAGATACTCCCTCCCCCCATTTCCCCCCAAGAATAACCCTGTGAGGCTCTTTGCTTTTAAATTGGTCAAAAGCCCTGCACTGGCGGTTTCATGGCAATATCTGAAGAAGGTGGAGAACGTTGTACAAACTGCCAAGCACCCTCTCTTTTCTTCATTATGCACAGGTGGTGATCTCTCTCTGTCTTATCTTGCACCTGTCAGTCAAGGAAGGGGCTCTATTGAATGGGTCCTGAGAACAAACATATTTTGATTATCTACTTTATTTCCAAATCATCCTTTAGCTGTTGACAGATTATATTCCTCACTGCATGTTTAGCTAAAACATCAATATGGAGTGAGTTTGCCAATATTTGCAGAAGGATTTTTGTCCTGTCCACGTTTGACATCTGCTCAGTTCCAGTTGCAGAAGACAAGTTTTGTTTTCCAAAAGAGAGAAAGCCTGGAAGGAGGAATGGAAAGAGGGGAATGTGTGTCACATCAAAAAAAGGGAAGATAAGTACAGAGGAGGTCTGTTGGGCTAAGGCCATTTCCCAAGAGACTTCTCACATCTTCTAGAGACGCCCAAAGATCATTGTCCCAAAGTAACAATAATGAGGACAGGGTTTTATGTCACTCCATCCACGGCTGATAATGTTGTGAAGATGCTAGAAGTCACTTGGGAAACAGCCATACCGAACAAGCAAGGAATCTGTCCATTTCATTTTCTCATTTTTCTCAAGCCAATTTTTCCCCATTTCTGCAAGAGTTTCTTTTTTCTAAAAGCAATTTGTGCCCATACTTCCTAATAAATATACCCTGATATGCAATTTTGCCGCACATGCATCTTTGGGGCCACGCTTCTCTTAATAGAAGGATTTTTAAAAAATATTATTCATACACATACACACAGAGAGAAAACATACATCCTTCTCACAATGTTTACGGAAAGGTTTTAAACAGGAGTACGATGAATGATTTGGAGACCTGCACATCCAGAAGGAGAATCTTCCAGGTGATGGGCTGCTTCGAGAAATTAAGGCGCTTGCCTTAAGTTCCAGCTGAACTCATTTCTTTCCTGTGCCTAATAAAGTGCCATTTCTGCATGAATCTTTGTGATGGACGACTCCAAAGCCAGGGGCTGTGATGAATGATCTAACAGGAATGCAATTCGGTAATAAATAGGAGAGCTATATTTCCCATCTTCATTGGAGAAGGAGGAGGAGGAGGGGTGGACCTGAATTTCACGTCATGGTTGCTTCAATGGGAAGTTTCAGGCTTCATTGCTCCCTCTAAAGACAAGAAGGGAAACTGGTTTCCATGGCCTGGAGTGGACTTTCTTCACCTGATCTCTCAAATCAGCAGCAAATATTCAATCTGCTCCAGGTTAGGTCTGCAGGCGCTCCAAAACAGGACTTAAGGAAGAGAGCAGGGCTGTAGTCAGTTCTCCATGTTGCTGAGATGAACTAGGTGAATGGAAGACATCCCAAAACTGCAACTTTGGATGCTGAATGTGACTCAGCTGAGGTCTGGTCCAGTAGAAGAGAATCTCTGTGGCTCCAGGTTGAACTCTAGAGTCCTTGGTGCCCCCAGAGCTTGGCTGTTTTCTTGCAGACATTTTGTTACCCAACTAGGTAACATCACCCCTGCAAGGGAGGGTGGGGTTTTCTCCCTATTTAAATAAGCAGCTTCCTTCTCTCCAAGGAATCTGGGGGTGCTCCAGCCTCTGCTTCTAGGCAGCCATGAGCAGGTATTCCTCCTCTGTGTTGGAGATCAGCTTCTCAGTTCTTGCAGGCTGCACCAGTTAGCTCTTCTGATGGCAGTTTTTGATGAGCTGTTCTGAGATTCTCAATTTGCTAAGATACCCCATGATCTGGTTCTACCTCACATCAAATACTCCAGAAATGGACAAATTACTCAGAGACCCCCCAGCTTCTCCTCCATCCTGCAGGACCTAGAGGTGAGTAGCCGCTTCCTAATTCTCTTCCACAGAGACTACCATGATTTCTGACCAGAGGGCTCAGTCTATCATGCTATGTTCTTTTCCACAATTCCTATTTCTCACATGGCTGTTTCACTTTAGGTTTTATTCTTCTGCGTGGAAAAATTGATTGTTGCCAGAAAAATCCAAAACAGCCAAGTACTTGTAAGTTTGATGGATTTTAGACCTGTATGTTTCTTTTCTTCACACCAAGCCCAGGGGGAAGTTAATCAAAATTAAAGGCTGAGACATGATTTTCTGCCAGAAACCTAAATCATCAAGATGGACTTGCTGGATCCTTTTCTGGCCCGCTTGGTTTACCTCTATGGAGTCCATAAAATTTTCATTCTCTTTGTTTATTCATAATGATTACTGTATGAAGTGATTTGGCTTCCCTGTTCCCCACTGAATTGTTTTTGTTTGTATTGATTCCTAAATATTGGACTAGCTTCAATCTATAATGCAGGTTGGAGGTGGGAACTCTAAAATGTCATCTGTTGGCTAAATATTTTGTAGCATTTCTCACCATTTATTTTGACACAAATAAAGATGCGCTACTGAAATATTTTCAGCTTCTGGAAGGCTGTCAATGTCTTCCTGAGCCACCTTCTCTAGAAAATCGGCACCTGCACCCTTCCTGGTCATAAACTGAGAAGCTGCTTGGTTTGAACAGTCAAGCAGGCTCAGGGGAAGGACTCACAACCTGTTGGTTGCTAGCGTTTCTACCTTGTTGCATTCTGGATGGTGTTTTTTCACAGGAAGCACTTACGTGTCCTTCAAGGGGTCTCCACAAGCTGTGGTCAACCAGCCCAGATGACGGGCATGAAGACTCACAGAAGACAGAGGCAGAATTTCAGCGGTGCCATTGTTTGGCTGCCATCTTTTGACCATACCTTGTGGACCCCCCATGGAATTTTTGCCATGCCCCAGTTGGGCAGATTTTAGAAACAGATCACAGATGGAGCTTTCTCTTTATCAAGCTCCCAAGATGTAAAACAATCGACCAGCACTTCCTTCCCGGGAACCCCCAAATGGTTTTCATGGGATAGGAGGAAAGCCACTTGCTTGCTGTAAAACATACCCTGGCAGGAAGCTGCCACAGCCCACCTTCACGAAAGGCTGGTGGGTAAATGATTGGGGTCCTGCTGTGCTGTGGTGACCTTTTGGGAAAAGAGTTCAAAATTGTGGTCAGAAGCAGCATAAGGAGCAAAGATGGCGGGGGGGGGGGGAAGGCAGGAGAAAAAAAGAGGACATGAAGGGGCTTCCAGAGCTCAGAGAGGTTGGGCAAAGATGCCTTTCTTGGAATGGCTTCCAGCTCTGGGGTTGGTAGAAGAGAGAGAGAGAAAACGAGCTCAAATTCTCCTGGATGAAGCTATTATCTCAGTTCTTCCTTCCCACCACCACAACCGATGGCAAGCGCAACAAAGAAAATGTACTTACACTTGTTTGCACTTCAGGTTCAGCTTTGCCTCTCAGGAGAAGTTCAGAGAACGTTGACCTCTTTGGAGGGGTCTAATGGCTCTCCAAGACCTTCCCAGCTGCTGCCTGCATTGGTTCTCCTTCTGAGCGTTAGGCAGTTCCTGTCCCAAACTGAGCTCGTGGGTGAGCCTGTTCAGTGTCTGCATGCCTCCAAAGGAAAACTGGGTTTTTCTTTTCTTTTTTCTTTTCTTTTCTAGAAAGGACAGCTCAGATTCAGAGGCTGGCGAGGCAGCTTTAGAGCTGGTGGGGGGGAGAGGAGCAGCAGTGCCCCTCGTCTCACTTGCCATTCCCAGAATGGTTCTCACCATCTGCAACTGGTGGGAGGCTCCCTTGATCAAGCCAGCCCACAGGATGTCCCGGTTTGGACGGAACTGGTTTTGCGAAGTGTGAAATGAGTCTTTGGAGGGTCTCAGCTGAGCTGTATTTAATTCCAGAGGTGCCTGGTCTACAAAATCAGGAATCGCTTAGTGACTCAGTTTGTCAAGCAAGCAACTTCTGTCTGCCAGCACCTAAGAGGTGCTGGATGTTTCCAGCGAGGCCAGAAGAGTCAGAATCAACAGTTGGGTAAAATTTACATCCTGCTGCCCGACAGTCTCCATAGTCAATGCTCTTGCTTGCTCTCTTGGCTGTTGTTGAGCCTCTGACGATGAGGCTTTGGTTCATAGCCGCCTTTGGACTTTCCATGGAGCAGAAGTGGAGTTTTGCTCCTCATCACTAAGGTTTCCTGCTTTCCTTTCCGATTCCGGGCTCACTTCCACCTCTTATGTTGGGCTCCCAGGTACTAAAGACTCCACTTCTTGAAGTGAGTCCACATTGGAGAACATCTGCAGAACCTATGGATGATTATGAAGGAAAAGGTCATTTCAATGAGTTGTTCTCTTCACCTACTCTTCAGAACATCCAGCTCAGTGAAAGTTCATTTCTATGAATAATAGTATTTTAATTTGTTTTATGTATAGGGGGCTGCCTTAGATCTGTTTGGGAGCTGTTGAAGGAAATTCAATCCCTCCTGCAGGAGGGAGTGAAACTGCAGACCCAACTAGCTCCCCTAGAGAAGAAGAAGGACCTCAGGCCTCATGGCTGGAAGCAGTCTCTGCTTTGGCAGTGGCCACTGGAACCCTCTGCACATTGCTGCCAAAATTTAACAAAGAGGGAATTATGACATGCTTGGAGAGAGATCTTATTAATATGGGTTATAATTTAAATTGAATTGCATTGCAGCGGCATTTAAAATAAATTTAATTTCTGTCTTGACCAACTTACTCCTGGCCCTATCTGTACTCACTTCTCGGGTGTCTATAGAAGGCCTTTGACCCGTGTCTGGAGAAACTGTCCGTGGGGCCCCACGGAAAGGAGAGCCCCACATTTCACAGAACTGTGAACTCTCCCTCTCTTGCAGCAAAAGCATTACATCCAGTGAAGGCAGCCAAGATCTTGTGAAGGGAAATGACGTGGCCTCTATCAACTTATCCTCAGCTCACTGAACAGGGAAATTAGCATGGGAACCAGCAGTGCTAAGGGAGCAAAATTAAATCTCAGAGACTGGCAAAAATCTGGCTCCAGTTGCAAGCATCTTGACCTCTCATTGCAAAGAGGCAAGCGCCGATGGAGCTTAAATTACCAGGAGCAAGACCTTCCTCCAGTGTTCTTTGGCTACTCAGTAATCTGCTCGCAGCCTGAATTTGTCCCTGCAAACCTAGACATTTGCTATCTGATCTGTTGGCACAGATGAACAGCTGTCTTCTCCCAAAACTCCCCAGTCTAAATGCATTGACTTCTTGGTGGGAAAGATAGCCTTCACGTGTCCATTTTAAATGGTGGATTAGTAGCACTTAGTCTGGCTTGCTTGCTTGCAACCTTCACCCCGATTTGAAACAGGCCTCCCCTTCAATGACGGGTTGGCGCATCTCTTTTCAGACCGTGCACATGGGCTCTGGGAAATTGCCAACAGCATGTTAGAAAAGTGGAACTGTGCCAAGCTTTGGTTTGGAGAAATGTCGAGGGCGGTGTGGTCAAATCTCTTGATCAAAGCAACTTTCCAAATTAGATTGGATCAATCAGATTTGAGTTGAACTAAATTAGGTGGGTCCTATTTTTATAATGAATTGACTTTCTGAAGCAAATCAAATGGATTAGGGACTTGAATCTCTGAACCTGATCAGCTTTTGGATTCAACCAGTCCAAATCAGCATGATGACCTGGATCAGATCAGAGAGGAGTTGCCCCCTGCCCTTCTGGCTTCCCACCCCAGCAAGGATGCCTCCAGTCCAGGATATCGTTTCCACAACAGTCGACATAAATCCTTTCCTTTCAGTCTTCCTACTATCCCTGTGAGCTATTTTAGGCTGAAAGGAATATTGAATATTGAGAAGGGACCAAGTTGTGCCCTTGCTGGTATTCTTGTCACTGCAGTTTCTATAATTTCCCGTCTGTCCTGGTCACAGTATCTGTGGAAAATGAAAGGCATGGTCAAAAACACCCCAAAGCCCCCAATTTTGGGAGAGGTTCTTTTGGGGGCTCTTGCATGCCGGGTTCCACCCTCTGAGAAGACCCTTTTGGAAGCCTAGAGGCACCCTGGCAGATAGACAAGATCAAACTGAACCAGGGACAAACCTCCCGAATTCCGACTCCCCAATAAAGTTATTCCTGCCCTCCCCAAGCCGAGAATCACGAGCCTGACAGTGACGTGATGCTGCTCACTCTTTAAAGAAAGGGGGGGGGGATGTGATAAAGTCATGATTAACAAGGGCTGGCTTATTTAAAAACAATCACTGAACGCGTCTTTTCCTTTCTCATAATAACCTCTTGCCTTCTGGAGCAGTCTTGTGATGTGACTGGGGCCCGTCTGAAAGCCGTTCTCAAATTTATTCATAGAAATCTTTCTTTGGCCGAAGGCCTGAATGTGACTGATGGAGAATTATGTCATCTCTAATAAAACCTGAAATTGATTTGCATCTCCTGCCTGCCAGGACAAGACAAATCTCTGCCACGCAAGGCTTCAGCAGCCTTCTCATTGTGGTTGAAAAGGACGCCTGGCTCCTGAAACATTTATAACTGGCGTGGTAAGAAGCCACGTCCCAGATATAGATAGGCCTCTGTGATGTGCAAGGCAGCCAATTACTTTTCTCATTGAACTTCCCCTTCCTCTGCCCAAAATTGCCATTTCTTTTCCAAGGCAGCTTCATGGACCAAGCCAAGCCCACTTGCTGTCCCTGCAGGCTGAGAGACATCTGGGAACCTTGAACCCTTCGTGAAGGTGACGCCGATGTTCTTCTGGACTCTCTCCAAAAGCTTCAGGAGACCAGCCCCTCCTTTTCCTTCCTTGCTGGTGTGACAAAGGCTCCAGTGACGTGATCTTGGCTCACTTCCTGGCCTTGTCAGAAGTCGCCCTTGCTGAGAGCCTCCTCGCCTTGACAAATATTGAAAGTCTGGGAGACAAAAATCTGCTAAAGTGCAATGTTGTTCAACATATTTATAAATGGGAGTCCTTGGTGCTCCCTGACCTTGGCGGTGGACTCCCAGATATTTCATTACCCAACCAGGTAGCACCATCAGGGCGAGGGAGGGCGGGTCTTGCCTCCTGTTTGTGTACAATAGCTTGCCGTGCCAGTGTTGGGTGTTTGCGTGTGGGTTTTTTCCCTTCATAGTTTCTTCATTAGGGTACTACATATATTATTTATAAATGACCTGGGCTTAGGGTTAGCATTAGGGTTAGGCAGAATCAACAGAAGTATAGCATCAAGATTTTTTTTAAAAAAGACTTAATTCCCCTCTACACATTTGGCCAGACCTAGAATATTGCAGGCTACAATAGTCAGTGCCCTCCGAACCATATCCAAGCACTCCGAGTTTGTTGCCGATGTCCATTTTGCTCTAGGAGTTCATGGTGAACTAACCCTAACCCAAGTGGAATTTTCCTCCAATGGGATTTTCCCATGTATTTTACCAGGAAACATAGATAGGGCAGCCTAGAAAGGGCAGTGCCCTCCTAACAATACCCAAGAACTCTGAGTTTGTTGGCGATGTCCATTTTGCTCTAGGAGTTCATGGTGACCTAACCCTAACCCTAAGTGGAATTTTCCTCCAATGGGATTTTCCCATGTATTTTACCAGGAAACATAGATAGGGCAGGTTAGAAAAGAAAGTGCCCTCCTAACCATACCCACGCACTCCGAGTTTGTTGGCGATGTCCATTTTGCTCTATGAGTTCATGGTGACCTAACCCTAACCCTAAGTGGAATTTTCCTCCAATGGGATTTTCCCATGTATTTTACCAGCAAACATAGATAGGGCAGCCTAGAAAAGTCAGTGCCCTCCTAACCATACCCAAGCACTCTGAGTTTGTTGGCGATGTCCATTTTGCTCTAGGAGTTCATGGTGACCTAACCCTAACCCTAAGTGGAATTTTCCTCCAATGGAATTTCCCCATGTATTTTACCAGGAAACATAGATAGGGCAGCCTAGAAAAGTCAGTGCCCTCCTAACCATACCCAAGCACTCCGAAATTGTTGGTGATGTCCATTTTGCTCTAAGAGTTCACGGTGACATAACCCTAACCCTAAGTGGAATTTTCCTCCAATGGGATTTCCCATGTATTTTACCAGGAAACATAGATAGGGCAGGCTAGAAAGGTCAGTGCCCTCCTAACCATACCCAAGCACTCCGAGATTGTTGGTGATGTCCATTTTGCTCTAGGAGTTCATGGTGACCTAACCCTAACCCTAAGTGGAATTTTCCTCCAATGGGATTTTCCCATGTATTTTACCAGGAAACATACATAGGGCAGCCTAGAAAAGTCAGTGCCCTCCTCACCATACCACAAGCACTCCGAGATTGTGGTGATGGTCCATTTTGCTCTATTGAGTTATGTGACCTCAACCTAAACCCTAAGTTGGAAATTTTCCTACAATGGGATTTCCATGTATTTTACCCAGGAAACATAGATAAGCAGACTAGAAAAGTCATGCCTTCCTAACCATACCCAAGCATCAAATTTGTTGGCGATGCCATTTGCTCTATGAGTCATGGTGACCTAACCCTAACCTAAGTGGAATTTCCTCCAATGGAATTTCCCCATGTATTTTACCAGGAAACGAGATTAGGGCAGCCTAGAAAGGGCAGTGCCCTCCTAACCATATCCAAGCACTCCGAGTTTGTTGGGGATGTCCATTTTGCTCTATGAGTTCATGGTGACCTAACCCTAACCCTAAGTGGAATTTTCCTCCAATGGAATTTTCCCATGTATTTTACCAGGAAACATAGATAGGGCAGCCTAGAAAGGGCAGTGCCCTCCTAACCATATCCAAGCACTCCGAGTTTGTTGGTGATGTCCATTTTGCTCTAGGAGTTCATGGTGACCTAACCCTAACCCTAAGTGGAATTTTCCTCCAATGGGATTTTCCCATGTATTTGACCAGGAAACATAGGTAGGGCAGCCTATTTATATTGCTTCCATTTTGGAGTGCCACTTTTCAGGAAGGCCATTCATAAATTGGACCATCTCGAGAGGAAATCAATGTCCAGAGGAGATGAAGGACCTGGAAGGAAAAGCATACAAGAAATAGTTGGAGACATGTTTGGCCTGGAGCAGAGAAAACACGGGTGCTGAAGTATATGTTGGTTTTTATTGAAGATGGAGCAGAATTGATCAGAAATGCTTGAGAAGAAACACATTATCCTGGACATCAACAAGAAAAAAAATCCTAATGGATTTCAATAATTCTAAAAGCTGATGGATGACAGGGCAAACTGCCTTTAGAGTGTTGGTGGACTTTAAACAGAAGCTGGATTGTGTGGAGTTGGGGGGTTCTACATTGGTGAGTAGGGGGTTGGACTAGATGATCTCTAAGGTCTCTTCCAAGCCTGATAGTCTATTGTTTTTTGATTGCCCACCCCAGGACTCTGCAGTCTCGCTGGTTCTTCTATTCAACCCCATGAGTAGCCTTCAAGAGGGAACGCTTCCTCCCAAGAACCTATTCCAGATGGTGGAGTGTGGGTTGATGCTTCAAAAGGCTGGCAAGAAGAGAAATCAACACCACCAGGAGGATGCCTTTCCCTTGCTTCCAGCAGGTGGGTTAATTTTGAAAAGCCCCCAAGAGAAATTTAAAAGGAATTCTCTAGCAGCCGCAGAATAAGGCAGAACAATCTCATTTTTCAGCAGTGTGAGCAACTGCAGCTGGTGTGCGCAGGAATGTAAACCCATCACTGACGCTGGATTTCAGAAGTCAGATTCTGGGTTGGATTTATTATGCTACCTGATCATTTTGATGTCACGTGTATATCACAACACTTCCTTCTGTTTGCACAACGAGCTGGAAGAAGATGGGAAGAGTTTGTTCTCTTCCAATCGGCAAAAGCAATTTGACATGGACTCCTGCTCTTTCGAAGAA